TCTATTTGAACGTTGTATATAATTTTTTAAAGTGCATATTATAAAGGTTAAACTGTTATTTAAATATATATACTTGTGTTTAAATTAACATTACTTATATTTACAGATGTCATATATAATCATAGTTAGGTTATTAATGTTTATATAGGGATATTAATTATTTTAAATTTTTCATATTTCTTATATTATAAAATGTAAAAATGGCTCAAACACAACTAGAAGTAAGGATATATTTTAATTTACACATATTATATCATATATGTATATTAATGAATACAATGCACTTAATGTATTAAAATAAAAAACATAATATTAATATATGTCTAAATATTTATATTTTTCTTTTACTCATTTTAACTTTTCATAATTTTGACAAAACTAATTTACCTTCATCTAAATTATATAAAATGCTGAATGAATATTCTATTGGATCACAAGATGGAAATCTAGAATACTGTGATAAAAAACTTTCTCATGATTTGTAAAAAAGGGAACATATTAAAAACATTTGTTCACAATATATAATTATTTAAAAGAACAAGACAAAATATTGATGAAAAATGAGCACGGAAAAATGGATTGTAAAATTTTAACCTATTGGCTATATGAACAGCTAAGAAAAGTCTATAATATGGATTCAAAACATTTTACTAATGAATTACATCAAATTATAAGCATGCTGACTTTTAATTCTTGGAATGTACATGAATCTAATACTTACAGTTGTATAACTTATGTTTTTATTAATAGTTATCACGATAACTGGGATAATGCTAAAGAATTGTATGATTACTCTATAGATTTTGTTCACCTTAATTCTATTAAAGATGGGTGTGGTGGTAATTGTAATGATGTATGTGATTACCTTAATAAAATAGATAAGGTGTATGAGAGTTTTAAAAACCGTTGTTTTCCTAATGAACAAAATATTTGCCTATTCCTGGGATTAAATATGAAGAATACAATCCTAAATTATTGATAAAAGAGTTGTGTCATTGGACGCCTCAGATATTAGATACTGTTGCAGTAGATGCATCTCATATAGAAGAAGTAGCACCTCGTGTTGAAGAAGAGCTTTCCAGTACTTTATTAATTCTAACGTATTTTCAGGTGGAACCAGAATTAATAAGTGACGAATCAAAGTCTCTAAGAGTGTTTGATAATACTCTTTTAGGATTAGTTCTAAAATCTATCTTATTTTGTGTTTTATATAAAGTAAATGTTAATTACATTAATTTATATAAATTTTACTAACGTAGTAAATCTCTTCTAAATACATTAATAACTTATAAATTAATATATTGCACATGTACATTATTATCATTAAAATAATAAGTTTACGCCCATATGAAAACAGTTACAAATTAAGCTTCTAAATATATCTAATACGATAAAAAATCCAAATGGATAAGTAAAAAAATTAGTCTACCATAGATCAGAAATATTTAGACCATTTAGTGAATATTTAAAAGAAAATTATATAGGATACAACCCATTGTAATGTTTCTATATACAACATAACTTCTAATCATATTGCACTAATTGAGGTAATATTAGTTATTAAATTATAGAACAATCCAAAATTTGTTTATGTATGTATAAGAACTAATAAAAAAAACAAAATTTTAATATTTCTTGTTAGACTATTGCAAAAAAAACACTTGTAAAAAGAATTATTTAAATAATGAATTAAAATCAAATATTATTTTAGATAAATTATTTATAGATATAAAAATCCTATTTTTGATATTCTCGAACATTTTTTGCGTTTCTATGTTTTATCATTAAATGTTTAATTATGAATTCATTTTCAGTAATATAGAATTTAATATATTTAACGTGATGCTCATACTTATAAATACATATATTTGCATACAATAAATTTATAGTATAATATACCATAGGAATAATAATAATGTGGATGAAAAAATTTATAATTATTAATTATAAATTGAGGAACCTTAACTTCACTTAAATATAAATTAAAGCATTATATATAGAAAATAGAAAAGTGAAATTTTTTTATGAGAATTTTCCTCTTTATTTGTTTCTATTTTCATTTATATTTATTCTTTTCTCTAAACTATTTTAAAGAAAAATATATAAAATTTTCATTATATTATTTTCCATTTTAAAAAAAAAATAGCATTATGATTTGTTCATATATGAATGGTAAAAGTTATACGCAAATTATTATAGTAACAAAGCAGTATTGTGCCAAATATAAAACTCAAACTATTTTTTTTTTAATTAATATTTTTAAACTACAATATTTAAAAAATAGTACATAAAATGACATTATATTCCCATTTAAGTCATTTTATAAGGAAAAATATAATTTTATATTTTTTCCTTGTATATTCAGCATGCTTAGCGCATAAATGTATATCCAAAGAATTTTATTCTTTTTTTTGTTCTGTACACAGGGTTGTCTATTAAATTCTTTTACAATATATTTTTTTTTTTTTTCTTATGTAACTCTGAATAAATTAAAACTACAAATAGATATATATACTAATAATATCATTTCTATTATTTTCGTTTAATATAATTTTAAGCTTACCTCAGAAATGTGTAAAAGTAATATGTTAAATGCTATTAAAATTGGTATATTGGGGGAATTTTATAAAATACACGTATATAAAAATATAACAAGGTCATGAAAAATTATATAAAAATACTATAATGATTCTTAAACAATTATATCTCTTATGAAAATGTTTGTTCTCTTGTATAACGCATATATATAAATTACACAATAGATGGAGTTATGAGGAATTATTAATATAAAACAAATTAATTACATGAATCATCAATTTACTGTTGCGTAATATAAAAAAAAAAATTATAAAATGAATGTACCTATAAGAGTTAATCACATATTTCATGGTAATAAAAACAAATTTTCCTCATATATCTAATATTACTCAAGATTTATGCTCAGAAGTTTATAACATTACTATTGACATGTAAATATATTAATATAAAAAAAAATATTAAGAGAATACTTCGCGTTTAATATACTGAATATACTAGAATTCAATATATTATATAGAGCACAAGAATACAAATATAATATATTTCATAATAAGTGGTATATTCATTAAATGATAATATATTGTTTCTGCAATAAATAAAATAACATATTTGAATAAACAAATAAAAAATCCCCTATAGATGGTATAATAGGAAGTATTGCATTCACATAAACTAAACCATGAAGCCTAAAACATAAACCCTGAACCCTGTATAATAAGATTTAAATATATATTTTTTAAAAATAAATAGAAATAAAATTAGTAAAATTATGAAATATAATTCCACTATTTAACAAATATATAAATAAATAATTCCTAAACTATTATTAAGTACAAATAAATATTTATTTTTATATTGAATAAGATAATATTTCTAAATATTATTTGATGAGCCATGATTGTGAATAAAAAAAGACAATAATAAACATCACACATATATTCTTTTTACATACTTTAATATATATGTATGAATATATTTATGCATGGAAGAGTATTTTATATATTAAATAATAAATATTATATAGTACAATGTAATATGTAAGCTCTAAATACAATCTCATATACTAATGAGTTCACTTTTTATAACTTTATTCTAAATATATCATTCCACTCTATAACACAATATAATATAAATAAAAATGCTTTTAATTTATTAAATACACATTATTATTTAATTTTTATCTCTAATTTTTTTTTTTTTATAATATTTTTCCATATACAGATTATCTGGTTGTCCTGAAGCTATCAAAAATGTATGTTATGTTTTATTATATGTTAGATACATTTATATATAATGGAAAAAATTAAAAAAATATTACCTTTTACTTGCATTATATATGCTAATAGTATTTAGATCCTTTAGTTCGCATATTGATTTTTTAACGTTTATGAATTTGAGTGTTATCTTTCATTGATATCAATTTAGTATTAAAAGTTAAATATATAAGTTTAACATATTTATAGTTACGTTTTCTTCTTTTGCTTTTAGTGTTTAATGGTTAGGGCTTATTTTTTATTTTCTGACTTTTTTAATTTTACATATATTTTGCGCTCTTATATATAAACTATACTAGTTAATTATATTTTATGATATCCTATAAGAATAATAATTATTGTTAATATTGTTTTATAATATATTGCTGTTTTGTAAACTTATAAATTTAAAATTTTATTTCATTTTCAGTTTATGTTATAATTAAATTTTTATATTAGATATAATTTAATTATATTCTCAATTATATATATATAATATACTTTATTATCTAATAATTTATTACATAATTAATTATGCTATCAATTTATAACTATATTGTAATTTCCTTATTGTACTTAACACATAAAAATTTTTAGTATTGCTCGTTTTGTTATAAATTCGTATTAATGGATTATTTCATATTATGTTTTATAACGAAATAAATTATCAATTGTATTATTGATTTATTTAAGTATTTTAATAATATGAGTTTAAAGGTTCTTTTTTTTTAATGCTTTTATAATATAAAAATGACGAAATAGACGTAAAATATTCATTTTATTATATAATATATATTATATTTTATTACATCATATTGAATGAAGCATCATTATTATTTTTTTCTATTTTTTTTATATCATAATTTATATTTTTCCTTGTAAAATATATATATAATAAAATTTATATTGCACATCAAATTATTCTTTTTAATATATATTTCATTGTATACATAGCCAACAGATGCATATGGGATTATATTACCTTTATTTTTATCAATAATATAATGATTATGGTTATTACACATCATAATTCTTAATTTTTAGACAATTGTTATTACTAGATTACATTGTATAAAACTTTCTGTTATATAATGAAAATCGTATGCAATCGTTCATAATAAAGTAATTTATGAATTTGAGAAATATCATGAAAACATTATTTTATTATGTAATATTAATTACTATAAATATTTTATTAGAATAATAACTATTTAAAAATTTAAACATAGTGAAATTATCATTTTAATATTATATATACTTAATAAGATTTATAAAATATTGTATTTTGCTATTTTAGCTTTATAAAAAGTCTTATGCGAATTGCATATATTGAATTTTTTATTAAAATTTTTTTTTATCAATTATATAATTCATAATAATATTAAAATGAACTAAAAATTATTTTTATAATTGCAACATTTAAAATTATTAGTTTATTAAAATAATAATCAATAAATTATTACAAATTAATTTTTTCAATGTAAGTTATGTGGCATCTGCATAAAAAGTAAAAATATATATAGTGTAAATTTCATTTCATTACCATGAATAACTTGAACAAAGAATATTTTATATTCACTAAAATATTATGTAAAATAATAATTTTCTATTAAAAATTAATCTTAAAGAAGAATGTCTTAGAATAAAAATTATATATTAATTTTTTATATAATAAGATGTATAGACCAAAAGAGAAATTAAATATTTGTATAATATATATTAAAAAGTATAGGAATAATTTAATATTTAACCATAAAAATAATAAAACGATTTATTTTTTTTAATGTGATAATAAAAAATATGCATTATTAGATAGTAAATGAAGGATACATAGTGTTATATGTAATAAGTTTAATGCATAAATATTATATAAGTTATAAAGACATATAGGACATAATATTAAACACAATTAAAATAAATTATATAATGTATAATACAACTATAAAGTTAGTATGTGTCATAATTAAGAAGCACATGTCACATATATAGGAAAGTCTGCCTCATCGGACCACGATACTATACAATCAGAAAAACAGTTTATTGTATGACTGTATTCCAAATTCTTCTGATGTTCATATAGATTAATCACTGTTAAGATAAAAAGAATAATGAATGATGAAACTAAATGAATAGAAAATTTTCTTCTCAAAATAGTCCTTTATATTATTAGAATAATTTTTTCAAAATCTGCACACAATTATGTATAAGTTACAAGTATTACATGTAAAACTTTTGGCTATATGTGCAGTATAGGTTAGGATAAATGTAATATTTCATAATTGCTTTTTACGTCTGACATGTTGAAGCTCCTTATATATTATGAATTATTTTAGCATTGTATATATAAGTGTAAATATAAATATATATAAAAAATTATAAAATTTATCATCAAAAAACATATTGAAAAAATAATGCATAAAAAACAATATACTGAGCTATGACAATATTCTTGCAAATAACCATAAGAATAAAATTATATGTAGAATTAATTTATTTTTTTATGGCATAAATTTAATATGCATTAGATATATATATAATTTGCTGTGAGTACTTATATTTTTAGTACAATATATATTCATGATTTCTATGTCTAATTTGAACATAAATATTGTAAAAAGTTTTACAAAATTTTTTGTTAAAAAATGAGAATTTCATATTATATATAATGCCTATATATCAAAATAATTCTACATTGTTCCTATACTTAATTACATATGTCAATAACTATATTATTTATTTCTTGAAAACACGAATTGCTAAATTTAATATTTTACAAAAATTTTATCAATGATTTTTGTATTGATATAACAGCTAAGTATATGAACAAAATATATATTATAATATCTATAAATAATATAATTGTGTGGAAAATTAATAATCCTGCATCATTATTTAAAAAGTGTATCATAAATCAAATAGGAGTGTTGAATAAGTTTGCTCTATTATTTATTTCATACATAAAAACATTCATATATATGTGTCATTAATGTATGAAATACATACATTAAGAATGAAATAGAAAATATAAAAAAATATTTATATAGGTGTTTTATTAAATATAATTATAATGATATCCATAATAACCCGACATACATATATAAAGATAATATTGTAGTTCAATAGTAACTTCATTATTTATTATATATCTATTAATATAGTTTTATGTATTTATTATGAGTAATGGAAGTGTTCATTTATTTTATTATTGCTTATATTAGAATAAAAGTAAGAGTAAACATTTTTCAACATATATATAACATATATATGTACCTTTATAATATAATTTCTTAGCTTATATTTATATAATTCAGTTTTTTCATGGATATATATACGAATAATAATGAGTAGATAAATGCATTATTAAATATATAATTTTTTAAAAAAGTTGAATAAGTTTTAATTTGCACTTTTCATACAAATAATTAGAGAACGAAACTTACGATGTAGAATATAATTTTATTTAAGATACTTAAAAAATACATACAAAAAAGTGAGTAATCACATGTAGTATATTATGTCATAAATGATACATGGATGTAAATACATCATATAGGATGAAATATTTATATATTTTAGCAGTGTAAACGTACATAATGAGATTTTTAAAATTACTTATAAGGTAATACTCTTATATATAATATGTTGTACTGGGACAACATTTATAAATGTTATTCGAAATATTATTCAATATAATAACATAAATACATAGATACGAGCAAAGCATTAACTCATTAATAACAT